AAAAAAAAAAAAAAAAAAAACACTACCATGACCCCAGGGTAAGGATGACACACATAACTCAAAAAATGGTGGGGAAAAAAAAAACAAAAACAGTTAGCCCCAATAAGTTGGCATGTTTATGCTGGCACATAGCCAGAACTGCTGTGCACACATGGATTTGCAGCAGTTTGCAGACTGGAAGACGCAGCAGCTGGTTTTGCAGCAGTGAGCGGAGATTGCGACACATGCCGTGGCAAACGAATGGTCACATGGTCTCAAGCTCTCCCAACACTCCCTTTCCTCCTTGACAACCCCTCTCACTCCGGACGCCTGTGAACACCCCCTTGAACCACCTCTCCTCCGCCTAGGACTCTTCCCCCTCACCCCCCCCCTCTGTCTCTCTCTCTCTCACTCACACACACACACACACACGCACACACACACACAACTGCACACAACACTGTATCCACCAAATGCAGTCAGCAGAACTTATACAAACCCCATTAGAGACACCCAATTGCAGGCTGACAGGCTCTCGAAGTGTAGACTGTCCTTCTGACCTAGCTGCTTCTCACTTTCATGAAGAACAAGGAATCACCGAGGAACGATATGAACTAGAAGCCAACAGCAGCCTGGTTTTATTATAAAAGAAAGGGACATCCAAAGTGGCATATACGTTTGCCTCTTTCCGCACATTGCATACCGACTTGTTTGGGGAATGTGAAGTTAACCTTGGAGAACTGTCAAACAGAATAGAGGTTACTCCTTTTAGGGACGTGATTCGGCCCTCTGATCAAACCAACTTTGTCTCCCGGTTTCCTCTGGGTAAGCAGGTCACAAGGGTATTCAGTACTATTCACTGCTTTCACCAGTTTCGACTTGGCACACCAGTCAGCACCCTGGCGTGTGGCGCACCCCAGGCTCATGCTGCGCACCCCACCAATAGACAGAGCCACCTGGTAGGCAAAGCCTCAATCCCGGTGGCTCTCTTACCGCCACCAGGATAGAAGCCGTGCACAAGGGCCTTAAAAAAAAAAGAGTCGACGCTCGTCGTCGCATTGACGATCCTTTCATGTGAGTAAAAGGTGAAATCTCACCGCTCAGTCTCTGCCCAAGAGCAAAGAGGGCACATATGCAAATCCACCCCTGCTCCCGCCATGTCATGTCATAGCCAGGGACCCCCATGGGAGACCAGCAGTACTTTTGTGAAGCTCGTCAGGACCTTCAGCCATTCCTGGGAAACTCTTAATGAGCAGCAGTTTTTTTTAATAAGAAAACAAATCAAATGCAAGCTGCCTTCTCCTCATACTGGGGACAGCTGCGTTTTTTTTTTACAATGCTATTTATATCTCTCAAAATTTGCTATCCCACACTACCTACCTTGCCACCTATATCGATGTCCTACCTACAAGCCCTACAATGTATTCAGAAACCAGCTATGTCCTATACCTACAAGCCCTAAAATGTATTCAGCAAGCAACTACTACGGTACTACCACGAACAGGAGTTTCTTTTTTTATTTAAATCCTTTTTCCTTTGCAAAGACTGGGAACCGGGTCCAGCGTCCCTTACAACATTTACCCACTCCACGTTTCCGGCCGTTATGGCCAAGGGACCCCAAGAAGGCGGCATTGATTTGC